TATGTACCCCTCTTGTTGAATGTAGGAAGTGCCTTCTTTATTACTTGCAAACCGAGCAAGCATTGGAATTTAACTTTAACAGAAGTTGCTAGAAGCTAACGATGAACTATATAAACGAGCCTTCCTGCAGTCACCCTATTCACAACCTTATACCTCACTTATCTAATTTCCACAAAGCTGAATGTAAAAAAGTAATATTCTATCGGAGATTGATAGGAAAGAAAAATCGAAGAGACTCACATATGTATTGTCCATGTTACAGGTTATGGCAATTACGAAAGAAAGCTTCTTTAATCGTTTGCCATTGGGTAACCTACGGGGACGTAAGCTTTCCTCGATGTGAGTATTGCAACTCCTCTCTCGAATTCAGTAGACCTATTTTTGAATGTAACGAATGTGTATATTCATATCTTGAGAGAGCAATTTATGAAAGAAATCAAGGGAGAGACATTAGTCATCTGAATGTCTTTGCCTTCTGCAGAACTCACAAACAGAGAGTTTACGCTTAAAGGAAATCAAAAGAAATGTGCCCACATTTGAAGGTGAAATCACCGGCACATCCTTTCTTGGATAACTCATTCTTTAACACCTTTTATATAAAATGTGTAAAAACAATGACGCATGATGTATTAACCTCTGACAGTCCACATATTATATGCACTAACTGTTATGACCCCGCTATATATAATAGAGTAGTTTCACATTATACTCATTCTTTCCAATATGGAAACGTACCCAATCGAAAATGCGCTAATTGTAGGAAACCTACCTGTATTGAAACGCAATCTCTTTTTGAATGTCAAATATGTCTTAGAGCATACTTTCAACCCATACAGCACAGAACCTTTCAAATACATTGCAGCAATGTTGCAATATTGCAGATTGCAATGTAATATTGTAGAGACATTGCAGGAATATACAAGTGTAACATTTCATGAGAAATGTTACAGCAACATTACAGAAGCATGCAATATTTTATAATCGTTCTTTTAATTAAAAAAATTATATATATATATATATATATATATATATATATATATATATACATATGTATGTATATACATATGTTTTATATATACATACAACATGCATAAATAATAAAATTCTTGTTTACTAAAAAGCTTATATATTATACACACACATTTAAGAATACTTAAAAAACATAAATAGTAAGATTTAGACAAATAGACCAGTCATTAATTCGACTCTTAAAAAATTCTCAACAGTAATAGATCGATTTACTGCTTTAAGGCCGCAGCACACACTTTTGCATAAGCGCATAACCGTAAGCGTAGGAAAATTAATTGGTTCATTTTCTTATGCATATACTTGGGGACCAATCAATTTCCTTATGCTTATGGTTATGCGCTTATGCAAAAGTGTGTGCTGCGGCCTTTAGTCTTATTAAATAAATTTTACTATGTTTTTCCTAATCTTAAGCCGTAATCACACTACGGGTTGCGAACTTGGTCGCGGTTAGAATGGACCAATCGGAGTAGCCAAACGGCAAATTGCTTTTCTCTGATTGGTCAATTTCAACCGCGACCGAGCCCGCAACCCATAGTGTGATTACGGCTTTAAAGTGTCTTTCAAAGAGCTAGTATGAAAAGACATCTTAATAAAGCGTCTGCTATGACGCTGCTATCGACGATATACATGTATACACGTGTGTGACAAGTGGTAGTGGTAATAAATAAGTGCAACAATATGGCGATTGTCCTGCATGCCACGTTCCGATTGTGTAATTATTATTGATTTTATATTTCTTTTTTCTATGTTTTACTTTATATTTACATATTATTATTCACTCTATTGTGCTAATTTGTTTGTGATTGTATGCTATGTGCGATGTCTGAAAGTTGAAACGATATTTTCAGATTAGTTTTGGATATTGGATATTCTGTATATCATTAAAAATAAATCTAATAAAGAAGCTCAAGTACGGATATTATATCTAGAAGAAAAGGCTTAAATATCTAATCTGGCAGTGATTTTTCTGATATTGAAAAATTATAAACATAATTATTGGCAAAATTTTTAAACGGTAAAAGGTAAGTGGAAAGAAAGAGAGAAATTTATTTTTATATATTTTTTTATTTGACCTCTCTTTAGATGATTAATTGTAAATAATGAATCTATGAATATACACGTTTGCATCTTGGTTAACCTATATGAATTTAGTACTCTATTTTTAATAAAGTTTTAGTACATAAAATGATATGCGCAATATATAAAGTGATATTTTGTTTCTTTGTAACAACATTTCCATGTATGAATGTTTGTGTGTATAGTTCCCAGATAGCACAAAGAGTTTAAAAAGAATTTTTATGTCACAAGATCTGAGTTCATTTTCAGATGCAAAAAGAATTCTTTTACATAAAAGAATTCTTTTTACATTTGAAAGTGAACTCAGATTTTGTGACATAAAAATAAATTCTTTTTAAACTCTGTGCTATCTGGGATCATACTATAAAAAATATGATATTTATAATATACAAATAATAATGAAAATAACTATAAACTTATAACTATAAACAATTATAAATGAAATATTATCATTTTATATACTAAAAACTTTGCTCATTAAAAGTAGGAATTCACATAGGTTCTCCTAAAATAGGTCTTCCTAAAATCTAAAATATAGAAATTTTAATTCTTACATATTTTATAATTTAAGCAGTATATTTAAATATGTATTTATTTTTTTAGCATATTGTACATGTGTATAAATAGCTTATTATTATTTTTATTTTATTATTATTATCATATTATTATTTTAATCTAACTAAATATAATATAATTATTATTTTAATATAATTAAATATGATTAATTCACATAAAAATACTTCTGTTTCGAAACGTCATATCAGACGAATTATTGCGAATGAAACAAGCATAGATATTGCGGGATCTTCTAGACAAATTGTAGAACAATCAGATGCTGTAAATATTTTTGTCAAAAATGACTTAGATTTACAAAATTGTTCTCATGGAAATATTGAAAATATTGAAAGTAATCATATTATATCTATGGAAAATATAAATCTTAATTACTTACCTTATAATATTATTGAGAGAGAGAATAACAATGAATCTTCGAATTCTAATATAGTAAATAACATTAATGATCAGGATAATGATGAAAAATTCAGAAACGCTATAGCTGAGTGGGCTGTGTCATTTAATATTTCCCATAATGCATGCAATGCATTATTAAAAATTTTACAAAAACATACATCTTGTAACTTTTCCAAAGATACAAGAACTTTATTGCAAACTCCACGACAAAATAATATTATAAAAATATGTGGAGGTGAATTTTTTTATTTAGGCTTAAATAATATTGTTAAAAAAATGTTATTAAAATCTAATGATAAACATATTAATTTACTTGTTAATATTGATGGCCTTCCTTTAGCAAAATCATCTCATGCGGCTTTATGGCCTATTCTGTGTTCAAATACAAAAGATAATGCTGTATATCTTGCTGGGGCATATTTTGGATATAAGAAACCAGAAAATTTTAATATTTATTTGCAACCTTTGATAGATGATTTAATTGAATTAATAAGGGAAGATTATCTTTATGCTAACAATGTTATCAAAATTAGATTGTTTAATTTAATATGTGATGCTCCTGCAAAATCTTTAGTATTGTGCGTAAAAGGTCATACTGGATTTTACAGTTGTACCAAATGTATCATTAAAGGGGAATATGTAAATGGCAGAATCTGCTTTCCGTTTAGAACAAAATCATATCCTTTAAGGAGAGATGAATTGTTTGCTATTAACGCTTATACAGATTTCCAAACTGGTTACAGTATTATCAATAACATTCCAGAGTTTTTACCTATAAACAATACTCCACTTGATTATATGCATCTTATATGTTTAGGTGTAGTTAAGAAAGTGATACTTCTTTGGACGAAAGGACCACTTTCTGTCCGTTTAAACTTAAGATCAATTAACAAAATATCATATTTGTTAATATTACTTAAAACCTCTACTCCAAATGAATTTGTTAGAAGACCACGCTCTATAAATGATGTAAAACTGTGGAAAGCTGTAGAATTTCGAAACTTCCTTTTATATACAGGTCCTATCGTATTAAAATCTATATTAAAAAAAGACATATATTATCATTTTATCACATTTCATGTGGCTATCACAATTCTTACACGTCCAAACTTATACCAAGAAAATTTTATAAATTATGCTGAAGCTTTACTTAATAATTTCGTCGAATCTTTTGAAACATTGTATGGTAGACAATATATATCACACAATATTCATAACCTTCTACATTTATGTTCAGACGTACGAAGATTTGGCCCACTAGATAATTTCAGTGCTTTCCGTTTCAAAAATTATATGACAAGTATAAAAAGACAATTAAGAAAAAATGAAAAACCTGTGCAACAATTAATGAACAGATATAAGGAAAAAGAATATATGGATTCATTGTTATTAAAACATAATTGCAATAATAAGAAATATGTTTGTAAATATTTGCATAAAAATGGACCAATATGTAATGATCTTAATGTTACATCACAATACTTGCAAGTATCAAATGAAATATTTACTATAAATTGCAAAGATTTTAGTAATAATTGTTGCATTTTAAAAAATAATGTATGTATTTTGATTTTGAATATAATTGAAGATAATAATAAAGATATTTTTCTTATTGGTAAGAAGCTTAAATATATAGGAGATGTGTATAAAACACCTTGTAAGTCTAGTCAATTTAATATTAGAATGATGGTCACAAGTAGTGATAATATTTTTTCTTGGCCAATTACAGATGTGTTATATAAAGTGTGGAAAATTTCTTATAGAAATGAATCAAATACATTCGCAATATTTCCGCTAAATCATTCTGCTAAATAATTTTATGAGAATTAATCATATATTTCCTCTCTTTTAAATATGTTAATTAATCACATATTTCTTATAATAATGTTAAATATACACAAGTACAACTATTATACCTGCTATCAGAGAAAAATGAATGATAGCGGATTCATAATTGCTGAGTTTGATGATGGACTACAGTTAATACCAACAATATGGTTCAATGCGGAAAAACAATCGTGTATATGGCCTGGCCATTTTAAAACCAAATTCCGCATAAATAAAGCAATAATAACAAAAGAAATACCACAGGAAGAATTTGATTGGGATGAGTTACCAATCAAGAGAATCTTCGGCACAGCAGGTAAATGAATTATTTTCTTAAGTAGTATGTATGTACACGCACATATATGTATAATTGTTGTCTTTATTTTGTTTTCTTTTTTTATTTTATTTTCATAAATAAGACACTTATGAAAAAGGCATGGAAAAATTGGTCCTAGCACAGGATACATCTAATATAGAAAATACTGAAATCTCATCTAACGAATTAAAAGAAATAAAGAAAAAAAGAAGGCGGATTCAAGCAAAAAAAAAAATGTCATCCTCAGAAATGTCATCATCATCAGAAGATTTTCTTTTGCAAGAGAATAAAGAAAATCGAATGACGCAAAATAATAAAATATTGCCTGCTTTTCCACAAATAGAACATTTTGTGCCTAATTATAAATCGCGAGATAAATGTAAAGAGAATTTTGGTAATGAATTATCCGAAAGAAATTCTACTTATAATAGAATAAATATAGTTCATGGTAAGCAACTAGTATAAGAATAACTGGCAATCATACTATAATAATCATAAATGTATCATAAAATCATATAATGTATAACTTATGTTTATGATGCGCAACATTATTAATATTCTTATTAATTTATCTTCCTATATAGATGTCAATAAAAAAATTGATACAAATAACCAAAGCAATCTTAAACTAAAAAGATGCTCTATTCAAGAGAACACCAGCCAAAAAAATACTTACTCTAATGGTATACGTATTATACATTCTAATAATTTTTTTTAAATTATATAAAATAGGAATATAAAATATACGTATTTTATATATAACGTTTAGAAGTAAATAATACTAGTCATAAAAACAAAAGTTTATAAAAGAAATATTTATTTTAGAATTTAAGAAGCAAATATTAACAAAATTAAATAAAATTTTATATAAACTTGACACACTTGACAATAGAGAAATAAATATTCTTGAAAAAATAAATATTCTTGAACAAAAAATGACATGTAATTATATTAATGAAGAATTTCATATTGAATTTCCACTTTCATCTATATCAGAATTAACATATTTCGAGGGGCAATTGGAAGAAGCAAAATTTAAAAATCACGTGGTACAGTATTATATCTTATTTTTTATAATTTATAATAAATATTTATAATGAAATTTATTCTGTTATTATTTGTACAATTTTATTTTTCAGCTTTACATTTTGAGATTGGTAGGTGGAAGTACTGCGCATATAATGACACGCAATATATTGAAAAAAATTATAACAAATACTTTGGCTCAAGATTTTAGCTGGGCAGGAAAAAAAACTAAACGTTGTTTCAAAGACTTAAGTCTCACAAAAATAATCATACGTGAGTTTATTTCATATACATTTTATATTTAAAATAAGTACATATTTAGTTATAGTTCTAATATTTTTAATAATTTTTATAGAAGCTGTCCGTACAATGTATGGTTCGGTTACAGACAATGAGATAGCGGAATCTATATCAAAATGGCTTACCCAAGCCAGTTTAAGAACTCAAAGAGAAAGGTATTCATTGTTCTATTTTAAGAGAGAGATTCTTCAAGATATATATATATATATATATATATATATAATATCGTTTTATTTAAGATAATTAAAAAATTACATATATAAAATTTTAATTATCTTAAATAATGAGATCGACCTGATTAAAATATAGTTACAATTTTTAATTTGATTTATTCTTATGTTTTCAGACAACAGAATACACAAACCGAGTTAATGGAGTAAACAATAAGACTGCTACAGAAAATAAAAGTACAAAATAAAAGAAAACTAAAAGTACAAAATAAAAGAAAACTAAAAGTACAAAATAAAAGAAAAATATATTGTAATAATATATTATAAAAACGTACATGTTTACATATATACATATAAGTATTATATTTACATACATACACAAATACATATAAGAACATATAAAGCAAACATATATTTTACATACATATATAATAAAAGTGCAATACTGCAAGTGCAATATGCCAAAAAAAAGTTATATATAAATGTTATGTTGGAATACATAGTATATAATAAAATAAAATAATTTTCAAACTGTTTTAATTAAATTTCCACACAAAACTAAACTTTATAGTGATAAGTATCTACTAATACTGTGTATGTTTCAGATTTTAAAAGATGAAATTAAAAGGTGAACTCAATGACCATATGAAAACATTCAAGAAAAAGTATATGATCAAAAGTTCGTAGTTGTTTTGTATTAGAAATGCAATTTTATGAAATTATGAAATTATTTTATATATTCATAATAAATAAATTAACAAAAAATTATATTTTGAGTGTACAAAGCAATTATGAACGCATAATCATGTATCTTTTTTATCTTGTATGATTTGTATACTCGCAAAATTTATCTGGAAATAATAATATATGGCATTATTGTGGATACCCTGGCAAAAATGAATATCGGAACGTAAGTCGAATATAAGGAGAGAATGACAGAAGTTTAAACGAAGCTTTTAGGAGGCGTAAATTGAAACAACGAAGCGTATACGCTCCTAAAGCTTCGTTTACACTTCTGTCATTCTCTCCTTATATTCGACCTACGCTCCGATATTCATTTTCACCAAGATATATTATATTGTAATATTATTATAATGTTACATTGTAAGATTATTGCAATGTTATATTGTAAGATTTCTGTAGTGTTACATTGTAAGATTACTATAATGTTACATTGTAATGTTACTGAGGGCGGACATTTTAATGTTGCTGCAATGCTGCAGCAACATTGCAGCAACATTTCGCAATGTGTATGCAATATTCCATTATTACGTTGGAATATTTATGTAATGTTTCTGCAACCATTTTGTGCTGTATGGGAATTCATTCGAAAGGTTCATAAAGAAAATGACGAAGAATCTTTCCGACGATTGATAGGGATATCTGTAGAGTCAATCTCTTTAGAAGTAGATTACGCCGTAGCAGAACCTAGAATCGACCTTAAAAATCCAGAAATATTAAATGAAATGTTCTCAGATTAGCTTTTATTTTATACCGCTATAATTATATGCTAACCAATATACAGGGTGGGGAAAAAGTATGGAAGCAAACAATTATTTCCGAAACTATTCATTTTTCGACAAAATGTCTTAGACATAATTTTTATGGTATGAAAAGATGTATTATGTGGCATAGACGGCATGACCTTGAAATGACCCTTACGAGCTGCATACAAATAACGTAAAAAATTTCAAATGGAACTCGTCAGTTTTTGTTACAGATTCTTGTAGCTGATGTCGAAACGTTTACAAAACACTGCATATGAGCCCCATTCCCTTAAAAACACTCCCAGTTACGAAACAATTGTGATAATTCGTATCGACGAAATTGAAAATAGACAGCGTACGTGTTACATGAATATGTGTAACGCGACTGAACGTCATTATGAGAGATCAGTACAACAGTAGCGATTACTACAACAAATGGAGAATAACCCGCTTCGATCATTTCTGCCGATACGAAAGACACGCGAAGTTCGTAGAATCAGTTAAGGCGTACATCGAATCGCACTCAAGGAAAGAGATTGCGTGATTCATCCAACCAGTTAAGGTAAGATAAGTGCGATTCATCCAACCAGTTAAGGTAAGATAAGTACGATTCATCCAACCAGTTAAGACAAGATAAGTGCGATTCATCCAACCAGTTAAGGTACGATAAGTGCGATTCATCCAACCAGTTAAGGTAAGATAAGTGCGATTCATCCAACCAGTTAAGGTAAGATAAGTGCGATTCATCCAACCTGTTAAGACAAGATAAGTGCGATTCATCCAATCAGTTAAGGTAAGATAAGTGCGATTCATCCAACCAGTTAAGGCAAGATAAGTGCGATTCATCCAACCAGTTAAGACAAGATAAGTGCGATTCATCCAACCAGTTAAGGCAAGATAAGTGCGATTCATCCAACCAGATAAGGCAAGATAAGTGCGATTCAGCCAACCAGTTAAGACAAGATAAGTGCGATTCATCCAACCAGTTAAGACAAGATAAGTGCGATTCATCCAACCAGTTAAGGTAAGATAAGTGCGATTCATCCAACCAGTTAAGGCAAGATAAGTGCGATTCATCCAACTAGTTAAAGCAAGATAAGTGCGATTCATCCAACCAGTTAAGGCAAGATAAGTGCGATTCATCCAACCAGTTAAGGCAAGATAAGTGCGATTCATCCAACCAGTTAAGGCAAGATAAGTGCGATTCATCCAACCAGTTAAGGCAAGATAAGTGCGATTCATCCAACCAGTTAAGACAAGATAAGTGCGATTCATCCAACCAGTTAAGGTAAGATATGGGCCATTCAATGATCCTGTTAAGAACAGCATAATGAGGAGGTGCTCCATTCTGTTGGAACCAAAATTTCGAAATTCGCACCTGTAGCTCGTTGTATCGCCGGAATAATAGTAAGCCTAAGCATCTCTTCGTACATTAATCCATTCAAGTTACCGTCAATGAAAAAAGGTCCGATGATTTGGTTATTTATTATTCCAGCCCATACGTTGACTTTGTCACGATGCTGTGTGTGTTTTTCGTGTATCCAATGGGGGTTTTCGTCACTTCAATATCTACAATTGTGCCTATTCACACTTCCGGTTATTTCAAAAGTGGCTTCGTCTGAAAAAACTATTTTCTTATGCAAGTTGTCATCCGTCTCAAATTTTGCCAACATTGTTTCACAAAATTCAAGTCGTCGATCAAAATCATCTTCGGCTAATTCCTGCACAAAAGTCATTTTGTAAGGGTGAAATTTATTTTTTTTTAGAATCTTCGCAACTGATTTTTTATCGATCTCGTTATCACCTGCAGCTTTGCGTGTTGATGTATGCGGATTTTCGATGAAACTCTGCAATACTTCTACCGCTTTATCATCATTTGTTGCAGAAGCTGGCCTTCCTACTTTTGGCTTATCCTTTACGGAACCTGTTTCATTAAATCGTTGAATTGTCTTAGCAACGGTAGATCTTACTATGCCCGGTTGTCCGATTCGAAAAGTTTCATTAAACAAAACTGTAACTTCATCGTGAGTTCTTTCATTCTCACTCCAACCACGCATCATCAACAGCGATATTCGCTCTCGTTCTGTTAATCGGGCCATCGTGAAAATAACATTTGAAATTACAAAAATGAAAATCAGTAACAATTCCTATGATAGAAAACGACAAAAATAGCAAATTTTCAAAACACAATATCCGAAACTTGTATGCCAATTGACACTACTTTTTTAAGGATAAAATAAATGATAATAATAAATAAGGTAGCGATGATCAAGAAATCAAAAAAGTTCTATGAATACTCATAGACAGTGTATCATATGACAACAGGTACAATTACATGTTATTAGTGGACGCAACTGAACGTCATGATGCGAAATCAGTAAGCAATGTCAATGTGCATACAAATTGTTTGTATCACAATTGTTTCGTAACTGGGAGTGTTTTTAAGGGAATGGGGCTCATATGCAGTGTTTTGTAAACGTTTCG